CCCTAAGGTCTAGAGAGGCTAAGTGACCTACCCAGAACTAGATTGAAATCCAGGTTACCTAATACCAAATCAGGCTAATAATAGCTATTGAACACTTATTCTCTGTGAAGCATTATGAAAGTCTATAATTTCAATCTGGCTCTGAATGGGCCATAGCCTCTCTGGCTTCAGGTTGATTTAAAAAAAAATAATGCTTTATTTTCCATAATGGCTCACATAAAATAAGTATTCAGTAAATATTAATTATTATTAGCCAGATTTAGTATTGATTAGATGTTTCTTTTCCATTATGGCTTTCACAGAATAAGAGTTCAATAACTATTAGTTAAATCAGTGAATGAATATTATTCAAATTTCATCCAAGTGTCTGGATCTTTGATTTTATTAGTGTGGGGAGCTTCCAGTGAAGAAGATCTCTCCACTGCTGCAGATGGACAACTTTTCTGTCATTTTTAATTTTAGAGACTTGCAAGGGACACTGAGAAGTTAAGTGACTTGTCCTGGGTCACTCAGCCAGTATGTGTCAGAGCAGGACTTGAACTCAAGTATTCTTGCATCTGAGCCAAGCCATCTGTCCACTTCCCTCATCCTTTTCCTATAATAAATTAACAAACGTGCATATTAGAAGCAGCATGGCATCATGGATAGGTGCTTCATAAATGCTTGTTGATTGATTAAAGATGTATATATTAATAAATATTCATGGAGATTTTCCTAATTGTGAGGTATAGATAGAATCATTTCCAAAGAAATGGAGGTTCCAGGAAAGTCACACTGCATGGAGAGTTCTCTACTTTCCCCCACAATTTTTACATAGGGAAAAGATCAGGGACTAAACATGATGGAGTTGTCCAGAGCACTGAGAGTTTAAGTGATTTGCCCGAGATGATGTTACCAGTATGTGTCAGAAGCAGTACTTGAACTCAGATCTTTCTCACTTGGAGGCTGACTTAACAGCCACTACAAGGAACACTTTTTTCAGAAGAAAGTAGAATACTTTCAACATCAGGAATAGCACTGAATAGGGAGAATTGGTTCAGCCAATGGAGCCGTTAAACGTAGGCATCAGACTTGTCCAAGAGTTAGGAGGAATGGGCCAGGAGATGTGTGATTTGATCTTAACTATATGGAAGGTCAATTGTGGCCGCAGTTGCTATTTACTTCTTTCCCCTCCTAGTATCCTGAATGTATGACACTGGGGTGACCTCTCTGATTTGCTCCCTCCTTCCCCACAAGGGACAGCTCTGGACATAGAGCTCTCTCCACCCTCTACCCTGGGAAATATGGGGCTATGTGGTTACCCAGCACCCAAGCAAAATACCAACAATTAGTTGTGACAGAGCCATTACTGAAGGTGTAAGGGTTCAGCAACCTATATACTTTCCTACACGGTTCTTTCTCCTAAACCTGTTTGCTTCTGACCATCTGAGCCAGTGGATTAGGAAAAGAGTTCTTTTTTTTTTTTTTAAACTGACTGCAACTCAGCAGGATGCTTTTGATGGGGGAAGAGATGCACATGATTTTAAGCTGAGTAAACCTCTAGGGTCTTGGGAAATCTCCAGGGTACTTAACTTAAGATAAAAATGCAAATTGGCATAGCTCTAGCTCCTCATTTTTATGGAAGAAAGCACACCTCAGCAACATTTCCCTGACCCACATTTATACAAGAAATCATCATGGATTGGATTTACAAATAACGAACCTATTTCACTCTATGAATATCTCTAGCCAGTTTGGTCAAAAAAAGCACAAACTAATCATGTAGATGTTTCATTACTGTAATGTCAAACAAATTATCTGAATGGTGTCTCGCCTGAATAGGAGGCCTTTCATCTAGCACGTACTCAGTAAACATTTGTCAGGCCACTTGGACATCACATAGATCCAGCTTCCCTGGACTGGGCTCCTTAAATACTCCCATTTCCATAGTGCTATATGGTCTACAAACCAAAGGTCACACAACCTCACAACAACCCTGTGAATCAGTTAGGACAATTATCATCATCCCCATTTTTTGTATGAAGAAACAGGTTCAGAGGCCTACCTAAGGTCACACAATTTTCAAGTGAAGTCAAATGGCCAGACATCAGGCCCTGTGGTCTTTCCACTCCACCACACTGCCTCATCTGAGACAGCCCCTGGTTTTGCTTGGCATCTTTGGATATTACATTAATGCTCCAGCCACTAGGGAATTATTTAAGTTGACTGAAATAATATCTCTCTAAAGAGTACCCTGGTGGGTACTTCACTCAAGAAAAGTGCTCTTGTAGCAACATTTTGAATACCAAGAATGCTGATTTTACATCTACCAAGTGGTTCATTTAAAACTAGCTGTTAAAAGTTTGGCCTCTGCAGCAGGCTCACCCTTAGGGATAAGGAAAATGACTTCAGGAAGCAATGTCGTCTAGGCAGCAATTAGCTGTACCTTTGGGTGTTCAGCTCATCATTGGCCAATTCCCTATTGGTCTCTGTGTGCCTGCATCGTCAGGCAACTCGTCTATGTGGATGGACATAGACAGACAAGATGTGACAGAGAGGAAACATACTGTATAAGTGAATCTGATAGATGTCTCCTCTAGTCAAGAAGCCCTGCAGCAGGGTATAAGCTGTCATTTATTGTTGTTCAGTCATTTCAGCTGTATCTGACTCTTCGTGACCCCATTTGGGGTTTTCTTGGCAAAGTGATTTTCCATTTCCTTCTCCAAAGTTCGTTGTTGTTGTTAGCAATTTCAGTAATGCCTGACTCTTCGTGACCCCATTTGGGTTACTCATGGACGAGATACTGGAGCGGTTTGCCATTTCCTTCTCCAGCTCATTTTACAGATGAGGAAACTGAGGCAAACAGGGTTAAGTAATTCGCCCAGGGTCACATAGCTAGTAAGTGTCTGAGGCCAGATTTGAATTAAGGTCTTCCTAACTCCAGGCCCAGCACTCTATGCACTGCACAACCTAGCTGCCTCATGAGCTGTCATAGACCCCATATACACTCACATTATTGCCACTCATCTCACATGCAAACTCTAACTTCTATTTGGCATTTAAAACTTCAAAACCTGGCTTTCAAATACATTGCAGCTTTATTGCACATTATTCCCCCTTCCTAGACCATGTAGTCCAGTCAAACAGGCTTTCTTACTACTCTTCACACACACGACATCTCCTTTCGTGCCTTTACACTGGATATCCCTTATGTTTAAAATATATCCCCTCTTCACCTTTATCTTTTAGATATCCCTAGTTTTCTTCAAGGGCCAGCACGTGTGCTATCTTCTCCAAAAAGCCTCTCTTGATCCCTCCCATGCTCAGTGCCTTTACTCTCACAATTATTGTGTAACTTTATCACTATGTATGCACATATTGCCGCTGCAAATAGAATGTAAGTTCCTTGAGAGCAGGGACTGTTTAGTCTATGTCTTTGTGTCCCCAGCACCTAGCCCAGTGTCTGGCACACAGCAGAGGCTGTGATTTGCTGATTTTTTTAATGTGTTGATTGCTGGATAGGTCGGATTCAGAGACTACACGAACTCAGGATTTTGCCATTTCCAGCCAGTACTCTCTCATCATTGTTCCCCAAGGCAAAGGCATCATTGCTTGGTGAAGGCACTACAACTCAGATTCCCCATGCAGTCCCTCTCACTGTAAGACTTAGTAGAGAGCAGGAACATGCCAGCACTTCAGTACACAGACATTCTTCCCGGAAAATAGGTGGAGCTTGGATCCTTTGCATTCTCTCTTAGACATACTGCTCCTCTACTTCCTTTTATGCTGCTATTTCATCTCTCCCTCTTGTTTACCCTACTGTTCTCTACACTGTCAGCAACTCTTATTCCCAAACCTCTTTCCAGATACCCAGAGTGCATTTATTCTACTGTTTTTCATGAACACCAGTGATGAAGGTCCATCTTGCTGCTACCTAAATAGTCCTGAGGAAGTAACCAGTAGCTACTGCCAGCACTGTGCTCTCATTGCCTCTTGTGGATAAGTGTTTTTCCTCACACCAACATTCTCAAACTCTGACATGAATACAGAGAAGGAAAGGCAGTGGATCATTCCCCTGACCATGACCACACTTACTTAAAAATTTGCATTTTATTGGTGACTTTTTGCATCATAGTCATTTCCAAATATACCTTCCTTAGCCAACCCGGTAAATCTTCCCTTTATAATAAAGAAAAACTGTTAAACAAAACCAACAATGCAGAAACTGTGTCTGAAGTGTGTGAGATTCTTCACCCTGTAATACTTCTTTTATTTGGTGCAAAGATTGGCCCTTACAATTATGTAGCTGATGACTTTATTTTAGGGTTCCTTTGCATTATGGTAGTCATCATATACATTGTTCTCCCGGGACTATTCTCTCTGCATCAGTTCCAATAAATCTTCCCATGTTGCTCTGAATTGCTCATCTTTGTCATTTCTTATGGAATGATAATGTTTCATTGCAATCAATCATATGCCACAATTTATTTGGTCATTTCCCAACTAACAGATAACACTTTTCTTTCTACTTTCTTGCTCCTGCAAAAATGTAGCTACAAATATTTTGTTATATGTGAGAGCTTTATTTGTCTTTGGCCTCTAAGGTATATATGCCCAGCAGCATGATCAGTAGTCCAGAGAATGGCCATGCGAACTTGGTGCTCCTCTCTTTCTCGTTTACTTGTGACGGTAGTGGGCAGCAGACTCAGGATTATAACCCAGGTCTTCTGGCTCCGAATCTAATATTCTTTGCACCCCATCCTACCTTTTCCTCCTCTTCTACCCAAGGAAAAAAAAATAAAACAACATATATGCAAATCTATGATGTGCAAACCCTTGTGCTAGGTGCTAAGGACACAATTCTACCTTTTTTTTTTCTTTCACATTCTAGGGGCATGGGTAGGAAATTCCATCTGTTCAACACACCCAACAGAGGCATATTTAATTAAAAAAAACTGGCACATTTAATAAAGAAAAAAACTGAGAAAGTAATTTTTTAAAGTTTAGATTTATTTCGCATGGCCATTAATTAAAGCATGACATTATTCTGGGAAGAGGAACCTGACTTTGATCTGTTGCATATTCCTTGATTCACAGCACATCAGAGGAGGAAGAGGTTCAGCTTTGTCCACACCTTAGTAGTTTAGAACAGGATGCATGGTCCTATGCAAACCAAAACCTCCTTGACCTCCAGCTGTAGGAAGGGAAAAATATGTAAGCAGAGCTTAGTTCTAAAGGGAGTGACATAGAGAGGCACAAGATGATAGCTATACTACTGCTTTCCTCTGCACTCAGGAATGTCTTCAGGCTTGACTAGATTGTCTGGTCATAAATTGCTATATAATGATTCCCAAATTCCTCCTTCTAGGCATGTCACCCCACCATGACTGAAAGATCTCAAAGTTGATAAGTATATGTAAACTGTGTGTGTGTCTTATGGAAGATATATATGTTCACATGGTTTATCTAAATATGGCTTGCAGGAGACACTGATAGATTCTTCTGAAATCTGGCCACCCCTCTGAGACCATAACTCCTGCCTTAAGGTGAACAGAGAAACATTTCATGAGTCTGGGGCACTCTTTCCTCTAGTCTCTAAGAGAAATATTAGACTAGAATTGTATTTATCTGTCCCCTTACATATTGCTGATCTAGATTCAGAACAAAAAAATAACTGCTTGTCTGGTTGCTGTCATCTGACATCACCAGTTTGACTTCTAACCAAACGCTAACAAAAGACCATCACAAATAATTGAGTAAACTCACCCATCCCAGCAAATAGCAAACAGAAATCAGAAAATTCCAATTAGAACATAGTAGGAAAAACATAGGCTGAGAAAAGTTAGCTAATATTAATACTGTTATTAATGTGTAGACCATCATCCTTACCTTCTCCCTTTGCCAGTCATTTTTCATCCATTTATATGATAATATTCCAACCTAACTTTAAAATCGAAGAACATAATGGAGATGTGGTAATTTATTCTTACACAATTAAATAATGCCTTATATGATTATCTATTGTAGAGTACTTAGTCTACCTAATTTTCTACTTCCATCTCCATGGGATAAAAATGACACTCCTTCCCAAAGGGAACAAAGACCCCAATTGCTATCCCTATTGTAGGTCAAATTTTCCACCCTCATATAAACCCTCAGAGGGATCCCAACTGGTGATCCAGAAAATTATGTATCATTTGATGACAATAAAACTGGTGAATGAAGAGCCACTGAAGCACAAACGGCAGGAGAAATTAATATGTCAGACTAGAACAACAAGAGCTGGCATTTATATAGCACTTGATAGTTTACAATGGGCTGTGTCCATTACTGATATATTAGTTTGCTCATTGTGTTAAAGTAGAACCAAAGCTACTTTCAGCATCAAACTTCTCAACTCATTCACTTGACTGTGTCTTTTTTGAGTCTTCACTGTGAGAATAAATGGTTGGGAATTGGATTCAATTCAACAGTATTTATTAAGTACCGACTATCTTCTGGTTTTTGCTTTCCTTCATATCCTAATTACTCAAACGCAGTGCCTAGCACACAGTAAACATGGTAAATGCTTGTTGACTGACTGACTGATTCAAGGCACTGTGCTAGGCTAGAGGGGAAGCCTACAGATAAATAAGCTGCAGTCTCTGCTCTCATGGAGCTTATTTATAGTATAGTAGTGAGACAAATACTTCATCAATACTGAAAGAAATAATTCCTAATCAAGTCAGTATTGATTATCCTGATGATTTATTTTTAGTTGTAAGGCTTAATTCAGATAGCTTTTAGATGATGAAATATATAATTACTGTAGACTAAGTTCCTTATTTTTACAGAGCTGAGCCCCTGCAGCTGCGCTGAGCTAATATAAACATTTCCTCATTTCTTAAGTCTAAGTCACTTTCTGTGTTCAACTAAGTTAAAATTTTAATCACATTTACCACAAGTACCAGACCTTCTAGCTAGCTGGATAATTCCATGATATCAGCTGTAACTGATGTAACTCGATAGTCAGTTAGATAGACAGATCTAGATAGATGCCCTGTAACACCTCAACATGCTCATCACCCCAATATTGCAAATCAACCACGTTCTTCATTCTAATCTTAGTCAACCTCCAGCCAATCCCAAATCAATCAAAACAGATTCTGTAACTTTTGATTCCTCTTTATTTACTGTAAAAATGTTATTTATAAATCCCTCAGTTTTTCTCTACTAGGAGTCATTGACTTCATTTATTGGCAGTTGCTAGCCTTGCTAATAAATTGATTATGCTCAGAAGTTTATGCCTCAGTTTCCCTTATTGTGGATTTTTTAAATTGCTTTTTTAGTTTATAGATTGTTTATTTTTATCTGACAATATGTCAGGGATTTCAGCAACATGAGGAATCTAGACTTCACCCCACAGCCCTAATCACAGAATATAACCACCAGTTCTTTTGCATTCTGTGTGATTCTAAATCACCTCTTGTCAGAAACCTTCTGCAGGGGATTGGAGACATCCAGCATAATAGGAACTTCACTCTATACCTCTTGAAATTGTATGGATACCAATTGATCACAAAGGCTTTCCATCAACATATTTCTTGCTCTTTATTTTGCACCTGCCTACCTCCTTTGCAATTATCTACCTCTTTGATGATGGTATCCATATACACAAATAATTATAACAGATCATGATAATTATATCAAAAAGCTAAAAAATGTGCAAAGTTTTGGGTTTAGTAAACTAGGGAAGGCTTTGGGAAGCATTTTGAATGATGTTGTAGCTTTACTTCCCCATCAACTAAAGTCTACTATGCCTATCACACTTTTCAGCACCCTATAAGTCAATGTTTTATTCTCCTTATGGCAGAAAATAGAAAGTTTGAGATTTTGAAAATTTATTTGTTTATTAAATGCTAGTTTCCTGAGAGCTTTCAAAGAGGACAGGCAAAAGACCCAAGGCAATTTTGAGCTCTTCATTTTTTTTGAAGCCTTAGCTGGACAGCTTTCCTCATTTCCCCCTCTCTCCAGTGAATTTGTGCTGCCTACCAGGATGACAGGTGAAGTTTGCTTTATTGGCAAGCTTAAGACTACATAGATGGGAAGCTGAAAATCCCCAGTTTATTCCTCTGCTTTATCTTCTAATGCCAGGCAAAAGAGAGTGTCTGAAGTAATTTGCAAGGTTAAACAAGGATGACTGCTTTCCACCCCCAACCCCAAACCCTAGCATTAACTATTGATCCTCAGAAAAGGTACTTGTAAAGGGTTGCCTTTTATCTTATGCATCAAACCTGACTTTCTTGCCTTTATAAACTCAAAGGCCTGATCTGTTAGCTCCCTTATGGTGTTAGTCCGTGGGATACTACCCATCCTTTCTCTGAACCCTTTAAATCAATTTCCCCAAACCTAGGGTACATGAGAGAATATACAGCTTTCCTTTTCTATCACAAGGAAGTTCTCATTATTTCCAACACAACAACTAATTCATGAGAATCAAATTCAGAAGAGAATTTCCTCCTGTTTTCTTCACCTGTTGAAGAAGAAAATTACCATTAAGGTAATTCAATAAGTTATTAGCTGCTCCACATTTAGCAGAGAGAGAGAGAAAGAGAGAGAGAAAGAAAGAGAGAGAGAGAGAGAGAGAGAGAGAGAGAGAGAGAGAGAGAGAGAGAGAGAGAGAGGGAGAGAGAGAGAACAAGAGAGAGAACGAGAGAGAGAGAGAGAGAGAGAGAGAGAGAGAGAGAGAGAGAGAGAGAGGGAGAGAGAGAGAACAAGAGAGAGAACGAGAGAGAGAGAGAGAGAGAGAGAGAGAGAGAGAGAGAGAGAGAGAAGAGAGAGAGAGAACAAGAGAGAGAACGAGAGAGAGAGAGAGAGAGAGAGAGAGAGAGAGAGAGAGAGAGAGTTCTTGCAAGAAGTCTGTTTCATGGCCTTTTGAGAGGTTTGCAATCTCTTTCACTAAGTCATTCCATCAATAAGTATTTGTCAAGCACCATGTGCAGGCACTGTGCTAGACACTAGGAGTTGAAAGACAAAAATGACTGAATCCCTACCTTCAAATTTACAATCTGTATAGGAGATAATACATACATAAATAGATACATACAAAATATATACAGAAAAAGACAAGGTAGGTTTTCTTTCAAGGGGAGGAGACTGGTGGCCAGAGGGCAGAATTAGGAAAGGTTTCATGTAGGAAGTAGTACTTGAGCAGAATTTTTAAGGAAACGAGATATTCTAAGAGGCAGAGGGGAGAAAGGAGTACATTCCAAGTATAAGGATCATACAATGCAAAGGCACAGAAATCTGGTTGGGGTTTCATTGGTAGGAAACAGCAAGACAGGTTTGGCTGGATAATAGTGTATAAGAATTCCTCGTCTAATTCTCCTTCTCTTTACATGTCCCATGAGATATTCTGATGATAAAATCACTTGTTTAATCTCTCCATTGATCTCCACTATTCCAAATGTTCTCCACCATGCTTTCTCTCTCTGGTCCTGTATTTTTTCACAAAGGGATATCTTCCTAATATACAATATCATCCCTCTCCTACCCATATCCCATTTTTACCGGTTCTGTTTCTTTTGAATAAGATATGTCCTTCCAGAGGCATATTCTAGTCACAGGATCCTATCAAATCTTAGTGAGATCTATGGAGCCAAATTTGCCTCCTGGCCATTAGGACTTCTAGTTCATCATGCTTGTTGCCTAAACTTCGGGAATTTGTGTATAGACATCTAAAGCCATGAGTTTTACTACCAGCTGTGCTGTGGTGACAGTGCTGGCTCTGGGACCAGAAGCACTTGGTTTAAATCATGCTTCTGACACTATCTGTATAACCTGGGGAATGTCACTGAACCTCCCCGGGCCTCAGTGTCCTCACTTATAAAATAAGGGGCTTGGATTAAATGGCCTCTAAGGACCCTTCTGGCACCATGATCTTAAATGATTCAGCTATCATGTTAAATGATTCTTTCTTGGGTTTTGCCTCCTGTGAACATAATTTTTCAAATACAATTCATTCTGTTTTCCTCCTCCCAAGTAATTCTGGACCCAGTTCATGGTCCATCTGCAATGTCTGTCTGAGATATACGTACTGATGGACTAGTTTGATTATCTGTCCAAATGAATGTTGTAATCTAGGCAATTCACAGTCTTCATTTACATGTTTTCATTGTGTGAATTGCCAAAAGGCAAACCTTTTGGCGTAGCTATGGATCTCATGGAGGAGAGCAAACAGCTTTTCATCTACAAACAGGAGTGTCAGAGAGGTCCTCTCTGGACCTCTGGAAAGGCTTTGGAAATGGGTTCCATGACAGACAGTATGCCTGCCATCTAAAGACCAGCCCAGCCCAGTTCTGATTGGTTAATCATTAATGTCAGCTTCAGAGGAATGAATTGTTTCAGTTATAGCAACACACAAAAACCCTTTACTAAGATATAGAGGACTTGTGATCAGCACTAATGGGACAAAGAACCATACTAACAAAATCATAATTGTTTCAACAAATCAGTCAGCAGGCATTTATTTATTTTATTTTATTATTATTATTATTATTTTAGGATAGGCAATGGGGTTAAGTGACTTGCCCAGGGTCACACAGCTAGTAAGTGTCATGTATCTGAGGCTGGATTTGAACTCAGGTCCTCCTGAATCCAAGGCCGGTGCTCTATCCACTAAACCACCTAGTGCCCCACAAGCACTTATTAAATACTTGTTATATGCTAGTGTATAATAAGAGATAAAGAGCTGGCTTTGGGGACCCAGAAAACTTCCTTCAAAATTGACCCCAGGAAGACTTGGGTCAAGTGTTGCTTCTGGAAAATACTGTCTATATTACCCCAGGCAAGTTGCTTACCCTCTTATTTCTTTAGGCAATTCTCTAAGACTATATGTTTCAGAAAACACATTGACCTGCACAGGTAGAGGGAATTTCCTTATCTACTGTTCCCTGTACTAGTAAAATTACAGGTCCAGTCTCTATCCCTATGTACCAGGCATAAACGGAAATAATCCCTTCTCTCAAGAAGCTTACTTTCCATCAGGGGGAAAAAGTATGTGCACATATAAGTATATGTGAAGTATAAGGATAGGGACAAGACTTTTAGGTAGGTAGGTAGGGTGCATTGGCACTGGGGGAATCAGGAAAGGCCTTGTGGAGGCAGTGGATGTTGAGCTAAATTTTGAAGGAGACTGTCTTCTTGGGTCACCAGAGCCCAAAAGATTTTCATTATCTGGTGGTGATGAATACTTTGGCATGATTTTTTTAAATCAGAAAGGTAGCAAAGTCCCAACGGAATGAAATACTTATAGGTTTTGATGCAAAGTGGAGAAATTAGTTGGATCAGAGAGTGTGACAATACTCAGGAAGGACAGTGGGGTTCCCATTATGGGGTAACCTGAACAGCTATGGGGTAGCATGAAGTGAGCAGATACCTAGGACAGATATAATATCAGAAGAGGAGTAAGCATGAATAAAGGAAGAAGAGACGTCAAAGACTTTGCCTACTTGTTTTCCTGACTAAAGTGTAAGCTCATTGAGGACAGGAGTCACATTTCATACTTTGAAATTCCCACAATGACTTAGACGTAATTGATGCTCAATAAATATTGTTCGATAGGGATATACCATAATTTTGTCTAGGGCCAGCCAGCCCTATCTTTGAACAAAAAAGATACCTTCCTGATGACCTCAAATGGACTAGGGATCTTCAATCATGTTAAATCATGAATATAACAATTTCATAAGCTCACAATGACTATTATGGATAATGTTGCCCAATTTCACATCCATTACAGAGCATCTTCAATTTCTGTATTAGTGTAACAATATCTAAAAATCTGACTTGATAATTCCAACACATCCTTTTGTCCCTTAAAAAGCTTTCATTTTATCAGAAAGAGACATTGAGTTTTCAACTACTCTTTAAATTGAGTTTCAGTAATATATCAACTGAAATGTGACAGTTGAAAATATTTTTATATCTCAAAGCACATTTCTTCATCTCAGGATTTATAAAAACTGTCTTGCCACAGAATCGTTCCATTATGACCATACATCTTTATGATGTAATGTAACATGATTATGTTCATTTATTGAGTATTAAAATTCTAAAAAATGTTAGAAAGACATCTCTTTGAGTGATCATTAAATAAAGTTTTTCTTCTATTTAAAGTCCCATCCACATAAATGTCCCTGGTGGGTAATAGCTGTAGAAGTAAGGAAGAATCTTTCTTATGATCTTGAATCAGTTGCAATTTATGTGATACAGACACTCACTCAAAGCTAGGTCACTTATTTAGCAAAGAGGGTCCATCAGGGTCAGCATATTATCAAAGAACAGTTTTGTCTCACAGCAGGTATTCAACCTGATTATGAAATTTTTGTGCTAGCTGAGATGTGGATGGGTCAGATACAGTGCTCTGGCTCTACAAATGGGAACTTTCTCCTCCTATCCTATTTTCAACAAAAGAGCCATGAGGCAAAAACACCTGCAACCCTCTCTGGTAATTTGCACCACCTAACTATAGAGTCAAATTACTCTTGATGTAATCTGTGGGAAACTAAGTCCTCTTAGTCACCCAAATGCTCAGCTCCTCATTGGATAGCAACAACATGTCACTAGGGTCTTTCCAAATGAGATGCAGACACCAGGGTAAATCATTTGTGGATGACTATTTTCAACTTCAAGAGCAGCACTGAAGGTTGGAATGGAATAACCATAGACAAGACATAGACTAATTGATGTATATGGAAATAGCGAGAGAGTATCCCTCTCATTTTCCACAAGTGTAGTTGTAGATAGTGTGTTAGTAAGCCACAGATCTTTTCCTACCCAAGTCAATGAACCTAACTTCTTTTCTCTTTGTTCTCTATTTCCCTTGCATGGTACCTGGTCCAGAATGTAAGCTCCTTAAGAGCAGAGACTGCCTCTCTTTTTGTATTTGTGTCCTCAATGCTTAGCACAGTGCCAGATACATAATAAGCATTTAATGAATGCTTTTGTTCATTTATTTATTCCATAAAAGCTGGCACAATTGGCCAATTTCCCCAACTAACCACTTAGACCTGTTACAAACAAGAATATCTAAGAATAAAACATTAGATAGAGTCAAGATTTATTAAAGCTTGTGGGACATAACAACAGGGCCAATACAATAGGCCAAATAAGCCTGGGCTTACAATAAGCATGGGCTCAGAAAACAAGCAAATTAATCCTAGAACAAAACTCTGAGGATCTATTGCGAGGACTAAAAGGAGCTTGACCAAAGAATTGTACAATCCACTCCATTCTAGATGGAACAGGCCTTTTATTTGGTCTATTTTAAGGGAAGACCACATAACTTAATTAGAGGCACTCAAGGGATCAGAGAAGGGAAGGCAGAAGGAAAATGGGAAGGGTACTACAGCAGACTATTTATTCTACCTTTATATCAGGGCCAGTACTGATACCTCAAACCCAGGGTACGAACCAATTATTTCATATGCTGTGGAAGGAAGACAGAATCCACTGTTGTATAGGACTCTTTGGAGTCATGGCAACATCTAGATCAGGGCTGCCTAAGTGTATTATGAGGAGAACAAGGGTTTTACTGGGGCAGGAATGATTGGTTTTCCACACCACTGGTCACAGGCAGGGATATACCAATCAAGAAGGAAACTGAAAGGTTTTAGCCTAGAATAGAAGACTCTAGATATGAGACATTCTGGAGAAGAGGCAAGACAAAAAGAAGGTGGTACTGAGTAGTTGCAGGAAAGCATGATTAGAGAACAGATAACCCACTGGACAGAAAATGACTAGGCCAGAAAAACCAGAGGTTTTCCAGGTAGAAGGGACCTCAGAGGCCATCAAATTCAGCCTCTCCCCACCCCATTTTAAAGACGAGGAAACTGAGGCTAAGAGAAGCAAATGGATTTTCCCAAGTTCCCATCAGCATTTAAACATCAGAGGCTGGGTCCACTTATGCCAGTGACAGTTACCTTTCCACCATACCACACTAAGAGTCTACTATGTGTCAGGCGAAAGAAAGCAATCGTCAATGTCAAGTAATCCTTGATATAGCAAAAACATTTGATTGAAATGAGATTTAACCTACATTTCAAAATAAATTAAGAATCTCATTATTTCAGTTGTAAGGCTATTTTAAGGGTACAACAAAAATGTTAATGTTGTACATGCCTATTGAGTATATACACTCTGGCTTCTTGTGGTTAATTGCATAATCCCAGTCCCGAAGCCAATTGGTGTGGGAGGACAGAGGTGATGAGAGTGGGAAAGCTCTTTCTTTAGTCATCTTCAGGGCTCCTCAAGCTTCAAGTCACTTTGGGTGCTTTGGGTACTTCTGGCTTCTATCTTTGAGAAGAAAAGTGGAAGAGGCCACTGATGGAAGAGGTTATTGAAGGAAAAGATGTGGAGAAGATTTGAGAGGAAATGGTAGTCTCCATCATGTCCCTCTTTCCAGTTTGCTACATTAGAGAATTTGGGGAGTTTCCCATTAGGTGAGAGATTTAGGACTCTTTCTCTCTCTCTCTCTCTCCTTCTCTCTCTCTCTCTCTCTCTCTCTCTCTCTCTCCTTCTCTCTCTCTCTCTCTCTCTCTCTCTCTCTCTCTCTCATGAACTCAATTATCCATTCCAAATGAGAGAACTGCTTCACTCTATGTTGTCTGGCATATACCCTCCAATGTATACCTTCTTTGATTTGTTTTGCTACCAGTTTGGATAAATGAATTTTCTTTTCTAATTGGTGTAAATGTGTTCATTGCGGAATTGGAATTTGGTGAGAAGAGGGCCAAGCCTTGGATATAGAACTAGGGGCTCCGCTTCCTGCCAAATAATGGCACTGATCAGAAGTTAAGTTGAACATGATTATATCCCCTAGACTATTAATATTTAAGGGAACAGATAAATATAAATATAATTCTACCCTGATATCCTTTCTCTCTGAAGAGAGCAGAGTGGTAACATTTGACCCCAACTTCTTGTTTCTGCTCCTGGCAGGAATTAAAATTTCTTTTGGGAAAAGATCAGGGGAGAAGAGGCTAGAAATGTCTATTCTGCTTCCCTTTGAGCCATACAATGATACCCCCATGCTATATATGAAGGCAATACACATGGAGCCTCTCTCTGTAGTTGTAAATTCAGTGGGGCAAGATTTCCTTTTCTTTGTCTGTTTTAATCCATGAGGCCAGACTTTAATGTGTAACCCTTTGTCCTTGAGTGAAGAAGATCTAATTAGTTTTAACAATCGCCTTTGTAGCCTACAAAAACAAACAAAAGCACTGATCTTGCTTCTTTTCCTCTAATATTTTTGCTGCTGTTCTCATTTCACCTCACTAAAGGGAAAGCCTACACCCACATGAGATCAATAAAGTGTTTAGGAAGAAGTTGGACTGGATAAGCCCTGAGGTCCCAGGGGTGTGATGGTATATGTTTAACAACCAGATGTCCAGCACACTTTTAAATTTAATCTGACATTTTTTCCATTACTTCCTTAAATTTAGACAATCAACAAACCAGTAAATCAGGGCCTGATTTCTAGCACTAGCTGACTTCCGAGGTGTAAATGCTCGTACTGAAAATGTAACAGTTGGCTCCAGTTCAAGCTGGCTTTCAAGCACACCTCTGCCAGCTCAATCTATTATTCTATGAATGTGATCCTGTACTCTGGGAACACCAACCAGTTAAACTGGACACTTCTTGAAAACATGGACCAGCTCTATCCTCTACCATGTATCCTCAATGGCTTAGCACTGTCATATGGACTCTGTTAGGTACTCAATACTTTTTGATTCACTGACTCCCTACTCAAGGAAACATGAAACAGACTCATCTAACCTAACCAAGTGTGTATGATTGTGTAGGTAAGAGAATTGCAATATTGCTACTTTGAACCCTCAAGGGTGTCATTATAACTCTCTATTGGCCCAATGTGGAATTAAATTTCTTCCATCTCTTCTGCATCGTTGGTTATAGATTCATAGGTAGGTTATATGATAATTAAAATAGGAAGGGACCTTAGCAGTCCAATCTTCTGGTACAAGTGAAGAAACTGAGAGCCTGGGGAGAGCTGACATGTTCAAGGTCACACAGTTAAGTTAGGCAGAACCGGGAAACAAACCAGGTATCCCCTCTTCTGCCTAGTCCAGCACTCCTTGATTACACTACACTACAATCAAATAAACACGTATTTGTGATTGAATAAACATGGATTTGTGCCTAATGATTCCTAGGTATAGCTTGTCTCTTCTCTTTGAATTTTTGATCTAAAATAGAAAACATAACATATACACACATATGTATAAATCAATGTATGTATACATAATGTATGTATACATACACACACACACACACACACACACACACACACACACACACACTGGTATTTATAGTCCTAATGCTAACTTTCTAGGGCCTCCCTGATAATATTTATGATTATCAAAAAGTACGTTTATACATATGAAAAATATATCTACCACCACTGTTTTAATACTGACCAGTCACAAAAATGAGTAAATATTTCTACTGCATGCAACAATAGGCATAGATCACTTTTCTGTAGCAAAAAGTGTAATTTCAATCTTTATTGTCACTTTGAGACCTTCAATTTTTGTTTTAAAGTGGGCATTTATTCTTTTTGGTTATTATTTTTAAATAAGTGACATATTTCAAGTAGACAATGCTTTCTCTACCCAATCCATCCTTTGGCTGTCCATGTGAAGTAGCTATCATTCCCAACCAGGAAATACAAGCATTTTCCTGTCTACATGGCTAAAGGAAGTGTTTGACATTAATATGGAAGACTTGATGGAAGACTTTATTATGGTGAGGGGAACTTCACATTAAAGTTGTGCTAGTTCTCTGGGGCATCAAATGAAAGGAAGCATTAAAGGGGTAAGGAGTAGGGGAAGGGACTTCTGTCCCAGCACTGAATCTAAACTTACAAGGAACCAGCCTGAGTCAGACCTACCCATTAGCGAGCTTCTCAGTTCAAAGGTCCTCCAAGGTAATAGCCCTTCAATAACCTGAGAATAGCATGGGTGTTTGTGTATTCTCAAAAGGCTCTTTTGGCAATAGGAACCAGGCAGGGGGCGATTTTTCTCTGCTGCTGGGGTTGGATGCCTTGTCCTGTGCTTTTAACTCTACCTTGGAGCCACCTGAAATAGCTAGGTAGCACAGTGGACAGAGTGCTGGATTTGGAGTCAGGAAGGCCTGAGTTCAAATTCCACCTCCAACATTTACTAGCTATGTAATCCTGCATAAGTCACTTAACTTCTCTCTGCCTCATCTTCCACAACTATAACACGGGGATAATAACAGCACCTACCTTCCAGAGTTATTGTGAGGATCAAATGAGAATTATAAAGTACCTTGTAAACTTTAAGAGTTATATAAATGCTAGCTATTGTTTTTATAGTTTGTTCCTAACTCCTACTAGAATTTGTTTTATGAGTCCTGCTCCTACTTGCCTTTGGATGAATCAGAACTCAGCTGCCTTTGCAGTTTCTAATAATCACAGAATCTCATTTGAAGGATCAAATGAAGTACCTATACCTAGTGCTTTGCAAACTTTAAAGTGCTGTATAAATGCTAGTTTTTTATTACCCAGCACTTAGCATAGTACCTGGTGCATGATGCTTAATAAATGCTTGTTGACTTATCTTAACCTCAGTCCAACCAATCCAGTACTTGAACAAGAATCAAGAAGGCCATCTGTACCGCGCCAAACAAATAGCCGTTTAGCCTTTGAATACCCTCCAGTGAGGTGGTCCTAGGCAGCCCATTCTGTTTTTGAATAGCTCTAATTATTAGAAAGTTTTTTCTTACCTCGTGCCCGACCTGTGCTGCTAGCCCTCCCCTCTGGGGCCAAGCAGAATAAATTTAGTCCCTTTTCACATAATAGCCCTTCAAGTATTTGAAGAAAGCTTTCAAATCCCAACCTTAGTTTTCTCTTCTCCAGGCCGAACTTTCACAGTTCCTTCAACTTCTAGTCATTTGGTATCAATATAATATCTTTAACATCCTATACTCTCTTCTGGACCCCAGTTTATCAATGTCATTTCTAAAACGTGGTGCTCAAAATTTCTGCTTCTGGTGTGGCCCAACCAAGGAAGAATAATTAGATGATTAGTTTCTCATTTCTAGGCACCGTGCTTCTTTTAAAGTAGCCTAAGATTACATTAGGGTTTTTTTGGCTCTCTCATCACACTGTTCATTCATATTTGAGGGTGAAGTCCACTGAAAGCCCTAGATTGTTTTTAGCCTAAATATGGTCTATCTATACCTCTACTATCTTGTACTTGTGACACTGATTTTTGGAAGCCAGCAATATATTTATCTCTTTTCAATTTCATGCTATTCAAATTCAATATCCAGTGTGCTAAATGGGATTTTTTTGAATTCTAACTATCATCCAACAAATTAGCTATCCCTTCCAGTTTTGTATCATCTGTAAATTTGATAAGGATGCAATCTATGTTTTTTTAAAAGTCATCTATA